CCTCTACTCAGACTAAGCATGTGGTGATACATGCATCATACAGACACAAGCTTGCTTTCTGCAACCCTCCTGCCCCCAACAACTTGCTTTAACGATTCCCAAAATCAAATCCACTTACCAGGGGCCACGTCTCCTGTTTGCGCTTTACCAAGATCTGACAGCTATGACTGGCTAGCCTCCTCTGGGGTAGAAAAGAGCTCCTGGCTGCATGTATCTCTTACCTCCGAGTTGTCCTCTGACTCTGGGTCCCTCTCCCCCTCCACATCCTCGTCCAAGATTTCCTCCTCCTGGCTCAGTCCACTCTCGACTGGCATGTGAGCCACCGAAGTATCCACAGGGGCCTTCGCAGTGGAGCTCTTTGTAGAACTGGCAGCTCATTGGCACAGTACCATAGCAGCGGTTTGCATCTTGTGCCTTGTGGTAGGCGTTCCGCAGCTCCTTCACTTTGACCCTGCACTGCAGTGTGTCCCGGTCATGGCCCCTTTCTGTCATGCATTGTGAAATCTGTCCATAGGTATCATAATTCCTACGGCTGGAGCGCAGCTGGACTGGACAGTCTCCTCTCCCCAAATGCTGATGAGGTCCAGCAGCTCGGTATTGCTCCAAACAGGGGATCGTCTGGTGCGTGGAGCAGGCATGGCCACCTGGAAAGATGTGCTGAGACCACTGCAAGTGTAACCGAGCAAACAGGAAGGGGACTTTCAAAACTCCAAAGAAATGTACGGGGTGGAGATGATGGTTGGTCACCTGAGGGCAGGACAGTAGAATTAAAACCGATGACCAGAGAGTCAAGAATAGTCATTGTGGGACACCTCTCAGAGTCCAGTTTTAGCGCTGTAATCAACCAGGGTGTCTACACTGGCATTGTGATGCTGTAGTCCCGGTGCAGAAATCTGTACGCCTCTCGTCTGGGTGTTTTTTTTACAGCGCTGTAACTGTGCAGTTTCTGCGCACTGAGTGGCTTGGCAGTGTGTACACCTCGGGAGTTACAATGCAGAAAGTTGCTTTACTGAGAAGAAACTTGCTAGTATAGACAAGGCCTTAGGCTTTCTATAATTCACATTTTCAATATTGGGGTGAGAGGAAGCGGAAACAAATAGAACAAACAAATCCACTATGAGCAGGACTTCCAGGAGGCATATTTTATTACAAAATTGCATATTATTTGTTACAGTAGCATGGGTCTATACCTCAACTCTTTGTTTCCTGCTTTTCCAAAGTTTGAGTTTTGCTGACCTCAGTGTTCTGGAAGGGTACAAGATATCACTGGGAACTCTGCGTTAACAAAGTTTTTTGTCAATGAATTTAGGTTAGTCAAAACTAGGTTGAGTCATGAGGATCTCCAGAAGGGTCTAAACAAAACTAAGTACTTGGGCAGGATGTTAGAGGAAATGCAGTGTGGGCAAGTGCAAGGTATTGTCAACTGGTAGGAACTTGCATAGACTTATCCAAATTATTTCTAACATCTGAAAATTATGACAGTTCCTTCAAATGTGCATTTACTTTAGTATCTTGCATTTTCTTACACTCATGGTGACTTTGACCATTGTCCATACATTATGGCCAAGATTTTCAGTAGGGGACAGATTTGCTGTCCCACACTGCTAGTGATGCACGGCTCTGGTGGCTCATGAGGAGTACAGAAAGACTCCATCCTGCTAGATGGAGATATCCTCAGCATGGAGGAATCCCCAGCATGTGTAGAGCTGAGGTAATCATTCCTACACTACCTTCTCCTAGATCCCGTACAATGGTTTGTCAGGGATGGGAGGAGTGGCCAGAAGTACTGCATTCCAGTTAGCAGCAGCAGCTTTAGACTGTTTTACTGTGTACTGGATCTGGAGACCAAGCAGACAATCAAAGAGCTGTAACTAGCTCTCTGATGGCACCCGTCTACTTTGACAAGCATACTTTTCCCTCAGTGCCTAATTTTATACTCCTAGATTCATATTTAGTCACCAAAATAAGTGATCTAATTTTTCAAGTGCTGAGCACCCAGGAGCTCTCATTGAACAAAATTCGGGCATAACTGCTAAAGTTGGAACTAGGTTTTCATCAAATGTCTGACTTTTCCAAGCTTAGCAAGTATTGTTTTTGCATCAGTAAAGAATAAATGGAACTTTACATTATATCTGGCATAATGTCCTTGGAATTCTGTCTTTTTTAGCAGCAAGAATGCTTTGTTTTCTGTCTAAAAAAGGTAACTACTCTACTTTTTTTCTTCCTTGTCAGCATTCTTCCCTTTTTTGTATGTGTACTGCTTAGCCACAGAAAATTGTAGAAGATCCCTAGTGGGAAAGGGTTTAATGAAAGTAATAACACCAACACTCTTTTATCTATGCTGACTAAAAGATAATCCATATATGCAAGAATCTGATGCTTCAGCTTATTGTGAGTGACAGGCACATAATAGATGCTCTTGAGCATTATCAGTCTACAATAACACGGCATTGTCATCTTTTGTCTGATCCTGGCCTATACAAATCTTTCTGTGAGTTTCAAATTCCTAGCACAAACTAGAGGAATCAATCTCAAAGCTGCTATGTGCAAATGGATTAGGTATAGATACGAAACTTTAAAGCAAGCTTCTAAGGATCAAGGGGTCCGGCTCATAAAATATTTAAGTGCCACTTATAAACAGGATGAAAATTAGGAATTTGGACACTGAAAGAATTTTGCATCACTAAATCCTGTATATTTCTATTCCAGCAATGGAACAGAAATATCTCTTCTTACAATCTTAACCCCATGCTTCGCTTCTGCATCTTTCACTACTTTCCTCAGGAATTCTCCTGAGTGCTCATGAACAGCGGCTTAAAACTTGGCAGTTTGGTTTGCAGCTGAATTTCACGTTGTGATCTGGATCCAAATAAAACAATATGCTCTGAGTGAAACTTGGTTGAAACTACCCTAGAGTATCCTCTTGTTTCAGACAGACCCCATGAAAACTGCCAAGATTCAGGAAAGATTTTCTGAGAGTGGGCAGTCTTCTCCCTGCCTAATTCAGGGGCAGCATAGGGATGCAGTGAAACCTTGTTGCCTCCCAGTGCTTCACACTTGGAGGTCAAGCTATCTTGCAAAAATCTCTCCTAAATGTTTAGAGATGCTAACCTCGCTGACTCCTCTAAAGAAATAGAATGTGGGAATGTGCCAACCACCATGCTCCAAGTTCCAAGAATTTAGTGGGGGGGCTCAGACAATTGTTCTCTGAAGATACCAGCTGCCCTTTCCTTACTCCCTGATTCAGCAAGGTACTTAAGCATAAGCCTAACTTGAATGCTGACTTCAGTTGGACAACTCATGCTCAAAGTTAGACACTTGTTTAGGTACTTGTTGAATCAGGACATAAGTGAGCAGATTAGAGGGAGAAAAGATGAGTGGTGCAAAACGCAGCAGTTTCATGTCCCAGGGAGTCTTTCTTACAGTTGCTGCTTTCGGGGGATTTGCCCTCCTTCTCCCACCCTGCTCCAAGTTATACTGTGTCTCGGGCCTTGTCTACACTGGCAGTGGCGTATAGGGTGTGCATAGCTACATGTCTCAGTGAAATGCAGGCTGTGTCCATGCTGCGGTGTGTAACTACATGTGGTAGTGAAAGTATCTGGTCGGGGGGAGGCATTGAGGAAAGCTCTAACAGCTTCCCCCTGCCAGAGCCTCTCTCCCCTGAGTGGGGAAAGGCTCTGGCAACAGGGAGCTGCTGGAACCTTTCCCCACTGCATCCATCTTGCCAGAGGCTTTCTCTGCTGCTGGAGACTTCCCTGCTGGCAGGGGTTGGGGAGCCTAGGAGGAGGGAGGTTCTGGTAGTGGGGAGGCAGAGGTACCCTACAGGGCTAAAAACAGTTGTGTAGATGTGGGAGGCACTGCTTGGGTGTATAGAGAACCATGTACGGTAATACCCTAAGATTCTGGTGTGTCTTTATTCTACTCATCTAGGCAGTGCCTCACCATCAACACTGCTATTTATACCTGTGCTAGGGGCAGGGTATACTCTACAAGCTGCATAAATGACATAGACTCAGTTTCAAAAAGAACTCCACCTCACACTGAAACTCAGTTGAAATCCCAGAACTCCACATTAAAATGATGCAAACCTACAGATTTTGCATGATGATTCGCAACAGATAAAATGACACGGGTTTCCTTGAAACTGGCCGTGTGCTCACTTAAAAGGTTCGGAGGGCCTTAGTAAAACTTTCAGTTAATCTGATCCGAGTTTCAAGTTTGCAATGGGACACAAAACCAGAGAACAAAGCTTGTGTAGTTTTGAATGTTTTCAGATTCCTTTGTGAAGATTTCCTAGAGTTCTAGAGTAGACCCCAGTAAGTGTAAAGTGAGAGGATTTTAGATTTAGAGGTTTTCAGGCCAGAAGGGGCCATTATGATCATCTAGTCTGACCTCCTGAACAACACATATCAAAGAACCTCACCCAGTAATTTCTGCATCAAGTCCACAGTGTCTGAGTAATAGCAGATCTTTGAGAGAGACATACATCTATTCTTGATTTAAAGACTTCAAGTGATAGAAATCCACTATGTCCTTAAGTAAATTATTTCACTGTTAAGAATTTATGTCCTTTTTCTAGTCTGAATTTTTCTAGCTTCATCTTCTAACCATTGGATCTCATTGTATCATTTCCTGCCAGACTGAAGAGCCAGCTACTGTGAGATTCTATTGGCTCTATTAGTTATTTCAGAGAACACCTTCTCTTTTAACTGGGTGTATGTGAACACCAATTACTAGAATGTTTCTGAAAGGGAGAAGTCTCAAAGTTCTAACACCTCCCCACTATAATGTGTTGTTCTATTGTCAACTCATTGTTTGTGATGTTCTGATTTCAGGTTAGGAGATAAATCCTAATAAATCCAGCAGCTGCTTAAAATAGGTTACTCGGGCAAATCCCACTATGTATTTCTCTGCTATCTGAGATATTACAACTAATTGTTTCTTTTGAGCCTCTGTACTCTAAAACTAGGATTAGCTTTGCCCACTGTGTTCTTCCTGGGAGTCTGTGTGAAAAGCAGCATGTATTAGGCTGTCCGCAGTGCCACAATTCCTGTGAGCTGACTATTAATCTGTTCATCTCTGTGTCCAAGTAACATCAATATGTGACCTGATGTCCAAAGTGGGGGCCAGGGTGCTATTGGAGAATTTCAAGTCAGGGAAACAATGGCAACCATTTGAGTGGAGAATTTCTGAGGAAGGAGACAAGAAAGGGAACAGGGTGATAATGGAAACATTTCAAATATCCACTCACTAAGGCAAATGCTTTATGAGAATCAAACTTATATTTGGTTTCAGAGTAACAGCCGTGTTAGTCTGTATTCGCAAAAAGAAAATGAGTACTTGTGGCACCTTAGAGACTAACCAATTTATTTGAGCATAAGCTTTTGTGAGCTACAGCTCACTTCATTGTATGCATCCGATGAAGTGAGCTGTAGCTCACGAAAGCTTATGCTCAAATAAATTGGTTAGTCTCTAAGGTGCCACAAGTACTCCTTTTCTTTTTACTTATATTTGGATTACCGAAATAATCAATGCCCAGGTTAAGTGAAACCTATTTGTATGTACAGTAATTGCAGCCATTGATTCCCATTCATACATTATATACCATGTTTTAGCTATAAAAGGGGAATAGAGTCTAGGCAATCCAAAGTGTAGAAGAATACCCAATCCTATATTATTAAATCTATAAAGCTATTTGTGATAACATTTGTATGAAGACTGTATGTAATCATGGTAATTCCGTAAAACAAAACAAGGTCAGCCTTCTCTTTGTTGCCTACTTTTGCTGGTCACTTCACCACAACGTGCTTGGGAGCACATACATCACAATCACTCCTACTTCAGATCCCAGCTCTGTCAGTTCTGATGCCATGCCTTGCTTGCCTTTCAGCACTGAACATTCTCCACATTCCTTCTCTGAGATATACAGCAACAGTGTATTATAATTAAGGCTATGTTTAGTCACGGGTATTTTTAGTAAAAGTCATGGACAGGTCACGGGTAGTAAACAAAAATTCACAGCCCGTGACCTGTCCATGACTTGTACTGTATACCCCTGATTAAAACTTGGGTGCTCTGGGGGGGGCAAGGGGGAATGGCCCAGGGACACTGTGGCTGCTTGGGGGTGTGTGTGGCCCCGGGGGTGCTGTGGGTGCTCGGGGGGGTGGGGGTGGCCCGGAACCCCCACTGGTGCTGGGAGGGGGAGTTGCCGGGACTAGCAGGCTCCCTACCCAGCTCCTCATGGCTCCTGGAAATGGCTGGCTTGTCCCTGAGGCCCCTAGGCAGAGGCATGGCCGGGGGCTCCTCGTGTTGCCCCCACCCTCAGCACCTGCCCCGCAGCTCCCATTGGCCATGGTTCCCATGCAGGGGCAGCACCTGCAGGCAAAGGCAAAGCACAGAGCCACATACCAGCTGCTTCTGGGGAGCCCCCCTGAGGTAAACACCACCCAGAGCCCTCACCCCCTCCCACATGCCAACCCCCGCCTCAGCCCTGAGCCCCCTCCCACACCCAAACTCCTGCTTCTGTTGTGGGGGGACACGGGGGCCCGAGACTGCCCAGCAGCAGCCAGTGTGGCTGGCCAGGGGGCCAACTTTGCTGCTTGGGTGGCCCCTGGGCCAACCGCACCTGCCGCTGCAGAAGTCAGAGGTCCCGGAAAGTCACAGAATCCGTGACTTCTGTGACCTCCGTGACAGACTCACAGCCTTAATTACAATCTCTATAGATAGCTCACGTTTAAGCCAATCGGATTGTTATACGGAAAGTAAAGAATATTTTAGATCTCCTGCATTTGTTGAAGGCCTATCTTTTCCTAGTCCAGAAGAGGAATTTTTCCTAATCTAGATATCATTTATCTAGATTTTTTTCAATTGTGTTTAGGGGGGGATAGAGAAACAGCCTTTTTCTCACCAGAATAAATAGACCCCAAACCTTTAAGATCTGATTTCTTGTAATTGTACCAGAAATTTGATCTTGCACACAGTACACAATGCTCCAAAATAAATGACATCTGTAAAGTAACTAACGACACATATATTGATTTTACATTTAAAGAGGAATCCTACAATCAGTCTTGTAAGGTCTCTTGGCAAGTAACTAATCTTTGAAACATTAACTATGAGTGCAAATGGCACTTGTCCAACACTAATAAAATTTCTCAACAACCATTAGTGGCATCCATTTTGAAAATTCTTTAGAAAGGATTGGCCTCTCTCACTCTAACCTTGCTCTTGGCATAGATCTAAAAGTGTTAAGTGAAGGCAAGGATGGGGCACAGTTGTGGTAGTGCAGAAGGGAAAAATATTTCCCCATTGGTTAATGAAGGACATTGATGATTACAGAAGATCTCATGTGCAATGTATAGAACTGAAACAGAATTAAGTTTAACCAAGGCCCCCTGGTATTTTTCTCTGTAATACAATTACCAACTGAAGTGTTTACTTCAGCTCCCTTACGCTTGGTTTTATCTTCCTAGATCTTTGCCCAACAATTGTCTGTCTGTACAGCACTTTTGTATATACCGCAGCGATTCAGTTAATAATATGATCAACCTTCACATGTTTATAATTACCATTTGCAAATACTTAATGTTACCATGGTATCTTAGCACAGGTATCTTAGCACGGTATCTTAGCACAGTAACTTTTATTGGGCAGAGAGCAGAATTTAAAAGATTTTAATGGTGTAATTGGAACTTATATAACAGTTTTCTACTTCTAAGTTCTTTACAAATATGAACAAGTTAATTCCTACACACTTCTTTGAAAGAGGTAAGTAAGCACTCCTTAGTGAGGGGGCAGGGGGAATACCTGTAAAATAATGGGACAGTTTGAGGAAGGAAGGAATAAGCAGTACTGCCAACCCCAAGCATTCAAAAGTCACAAGTAAGGCCTCCCCAAAATCATGAGATTGTCTTAAAATCATGACATTATTAAAAATAAAAGATGAGTTATTTTGCCTACTAGTTTTTCAGCCATTAGGGTGCATTCAGGTCTTTCAAGCTTTTCTCTGCAATCATGAGGGCTAGAAATGTAGTTTTATTTTATATATGGAAGCTGAGATTATCACACCCACATGCCTCCAAGAGCTGGGGCTTTAAGAAAACCAACATATATTACAAGATGTGTGAGAGCTGGTAACGCTGGATAAATCATGCAGGCTCCCATGTCATATTAACTCCATTTACAGAGGAGGAAAGAGGCATGCAAGTTGCCAGTGACAGCCAACAAAACTTGTCCCTTCCTTTCCCGTGTATCTCCAGTTCAGTGGGTTGAGCACTGCAGATGGCAGTGGAAATGAAACCACCTCTTCTGCTTCTTAGACCTCTCTCTAGCAAAAGATAAGACCCAGGCCTGACTCTACTAATCCTTCAAAGTCACTAACTCCTTGGGAGATATGTCATTCCTCCTCCCACTAAGCCCTGCGCATCACCGCATCAGAATATATTTCAAACGGGCAAGAAGCAATCAGAGAAAAAAGTACATCCTGCCACCCTCCATAAAGACCATATCTAAACATTCTCATTCAACCATAACTGGTGGAAATTTTGTGCACTCCATAATAAACTAAAACTTTTGCTGGTCAGTCCCTATCAATCTCTTTCTGTGACAACTAAGTACATCAGGGCTAAATGAAGGGAAACAAAGCCTAGTAACATAGGCAATAGCTATGTTATAAATGCTGTGAAAAGAATAAATTCAGGAAAGGCTGAAGCTCATTCAGATGGGAATAATTTATACAACAGGTAGGGTGAGAAATTCAGTAGTACAGGAAGGAGAGAGCAACGGGTAATCCCAGTGGATCCCAGTGCAGTGTGGCTAATCCTACACTGGAAATCCTCTTTAGTAAATGTGGGGATAATAAATAGCATCACCGATTTTGGACAGTGGTATCGTAAATGATCCCAAAATGTCTCTTTGGTGATCTTAACACTTTCACAAAACATAATCCAGGAAAAAAAATCTTTCTGACTATATTTTGTAAAGAGTCACTTTGCCAGAAAGAGGAACCTATTAATGTTCTGAATATTGTAGAGTGACTGCTTTGTAAAGGGAAAATTCTCCTATCAGATTCACACCACATTTCTTAATTACAATATTTTATTCTCCCTAATTGTGCAGATCTCCCATTGATGTCAGTCGAATTTCTTTTGTGTGTAGTCAGAGCAAACTATCAAAAGAAAGAAAGATCAACATTTTGATCTGCAAAGGAGAATTTTGTTCTAAATGATCTAACAAATTTGGGAGATTAGGAAATTATTTGCAAATTGCCACTTAAATAAGAGGCAGGAAAACTCTTCAATCAATATATATGTTATGTATATAATTACACTGAAGAAAAAAATTGCTAAAAGATTGTTAAATAGATTGCAAAGTCAAGCACTTGAAAGCTAGGAAATGCCTGAATTTAGGTTGTCCTTGTAACCTAAATTCCGCCTCCTTGTGTGCATGCATTAATTCTTTAATTTCATGAGCACATTCTGTTTTTTCCACAGAACCTCTGCCTCATTCAATGCAGAGGATGGACAGTTTTCAAGGATTGAATCAGGGTTGTGTCTTGAACGATACTTGTAAAATCCCTTTCTCATTTATTCTGGAGGTTAGAAGGTGTATGGGGAATGTAGTAGGGGACTTAAGGAAAAGCAAGGATGGTCATGTGGTTAAGACAAATCCTCCTCCCACTAATCATTTATCATCAAGGTCTGAATCCTGAAACTTCAGCACTGACTTAACTACGTAAGCTATAGAATGAAGAATATTAGCTGGCAGCTGGAGAAGATTGTTATTTCAGAGGAGAGATGGGCCACTGAGGCCATGTGCTGGGCCTAAGGGATGATTAAGGGAAGCCTGGCCTGACTCTCTCTCTTTCTCCCCCCTTCAGTAGGTGGGGGGCTTCTGTCTCCAGTGATGTCCCCAGAGTGGGTGGGATGGGTCACCAAGGCAATTTGCTGGATCTGGGTGGCAAGGCTGTTATGGGCCGCCTGGCCTCTCTCTCTCTCTTTTCTGGCAGTAGCTTTGGCTGTCTGTTTCCGGGGATCCCAGTGCAGTGTGGCTACTTTGGTGGCAGCATGGACCTGGAGCTTAGGCCATGTCTATACATATTGTGCTGATACAGGTGTGCTGCTGCAGCACATCCAGTGAAGACACTCTATGCTGACAGGAGATAACTGGTTCTGTGGATGAAGGGAAAGCAGTGGACGTGTTATTCCTTGACTTTAGCAAAGCTCTTGACACGGTCTCCCACAGTATTCTTGTCAGCAAGTTAAAGAAGTATGGGCTGGATGGATGCACTACAAGGTGGGTAGAAAGTTGGCTAGATTGTCAGGCTCAACAGGTAGTGATCAATGGCTCCATGTCTAGTTGGCAGGCGGTATCTAGTGGAGTGCCCCAAGGGTCGATCCTGGGGCCGGTTTAGTTCAATATCTTCATTAATGATCTGGAGGATGGTGTGGATTGCACCCTCAGGAAGTTTGCGGATGACACTAAACTGGGAGGAGTGGTAGATACGCTGGAGGGTAGGGATAGGATACAGAGGGACCTAGACAAATTGGAGGATTGGGCCAATAGAAATCTGATGCGGTTCAACAAGGACAAGTGCAGAGTCCTGCACTTAGGACAGAAGAATCCAATGCACTGCTACAGACTAGGGACCAAATGGCTAGGCAGCAGTTCTGCAGTAAAGGACCTAGGGGTGACAGTGGACGAGAAGCTGGATATGAGTCAACAGTGTGCCCTTGTTGCCAAGAAGGCCAATGGCATTTTGGGGTGTATAAGTAGGGGCATTGCCAGCAGATGGAGGGACGTGATCGTTCCCCTCTATTCGACATTGGTGAGGCCTCATCTGGAGTGCTGTGTCCAGTTTTGGGCCCCACACTACAAGAAGGATGTGGAAAAATTGGAGAGAGTCCAGCGAAGGGCAACAAAAATGATTAGGGGTCTGGAACACATGACTTATGAGGAGAGGCTGAGGGACCTGGGATTGTTTAGTCTATGGAAGAGAAGATTGAGGGGGGATTTGATAGCTGCTTTTAACTACCTGAAAGGTGGATCCAAAGAGGATGGATCTAGACTATTCTCAGTGATAGCAGATGACAGGACAAGGAGTAAGTTGCAGTGGGGGAGACTTAGGTTGGATATTAGGAAAACCTTTTTCACTAGGAGGGTGGTGAAACACTGGAATGCGTTACCTAGGGAGGTGGTGGAATCCCCTTCCTTAGAAGTTTTTAAGGTCAGGCTTGACAAAGCCCTGGCTGGGGTGATTTAGTTGGGGATTGGTCCTGCTCTGGGCAGGGGGTTGGACTAGATGACCTCCAGAGGTCCCTTCCAGCTCTGATATTCTATGATTCTATGAGAGCTCTTCTGTCGGCATTAAAAAAACACTTCCGTGAAAGGCAGAAGCTATGTCAGCAGGAGAAGCTCTCCCACCAACATAGTGCTATGCACATGAGCGCTTATGCTGGCATAATTTATGTCACTCAGGGAGATAGTTTATTCACCCCCCCCCAAGGGACATAAATTATGCTGGCTTAACCTGTAGTGTACACATAGCCTTAGATTAGAATGTGAACATTCAGTTGTCATTGTTCTTGTTAGACTGCCAAAATTTTGCTGGCAACACAAGTGACAGAAAGGGAACTGGTGACTATCAGTAGCTTTTAACTCTGTTAAACCTGAATGGAATTTCATGTGACAAAGAAAAGGCACCTCTCTGGCCTCAGGACTTTCTCTCTGCCAAATTTCAATGACCTGCTGCAAATGATAGAGGTGTTAGATAGTCTCAGAAAAGGGCACAAGAACCTTTTATAATGGAAAGTATCAGGAAATCTAAATATAGGCTCACTACCAGCTCCCCATTTTGTGTAAGCTTAATTAATTTCTTACTGTCTGAGATCTGGATGTTTGTATTCAAGGGGTAGCCAGTATTTTTACAAATATATGTTATAATTGCATTATGCGTTACCTCTCTCAGCTGGGAAGGAAAGGTAAGATAAAATATTAAAACAAAAATTAGAAAATATCTTGAGACATATCAGTCATTTAGGGCCTTATCCTGCAAACATGTGCACTATTTTGCTTATGTGAACACTTTCTCTGTCTTCAGTGCACTACACCATTAGTCAATGGGACTTATCACATGAGTAAAGATACTTGTGTGTGTAAATGTTTGCAGGATAGAGTCTTTACAATGGGAGTCACCACATGATTATGAGCATAGGTTTCTGCCTAAAAAGACAGCATGAATGCATTATGTATCATACTTACAGTTGACCTGGTAGGTTAGCTCAGTATCTATCTACAGTATCTGTCAACCTGTAATAGAAATATTGATTCAGGTTATTTTTTCCCATTAACTTAATGATTAAGGTCAAAAGGTGTTAGGTAATATGATTAATCACAGGTTACTAGTTTATAGTTTGTGTGCACAAAAAGGATTAAACAAACCTTGGCCTTGAAACTAGGTGCAGTATTTATAATACGAGTAGTTTTTTTCATGTAATTATTTCCATCTGTTCCGTCAGCAGAATTAATCGCTTATATCTGGGGTAGTTAGTAACAGGATCCTTAATTCTTTTTTTAAGTTGACCAGCCCTTTGTAATTCCAATGTTCAATTCATTCTCACCTGATTATGATTAATTAGATGTATTGTCTCTTTGATACAGTAGAAATTAGTGTATGCTCAGAAGAACTCATCTTGTTGTGTGCAATTAGCATCTTCTTTGCATAGAAGAGAATATTTCTCTTTAATTATGAATGGTGTAGCAGTTCACTGAAAGGAACTTGAAAGTATAGTAAGTTTATTTCACAGCCTCTTATTTATTGCAGTGATCTCTGTGAAATATGTTTTTAATTTTAGGAGAAGCCTGCTTGTTTTGAAGGTCCTTAGTTATAGTTTAATTACCTAGCTGAAGTAGAAAATCCACATCCGGTGAAGCTGCCAGATACAGAGAGGTCTAAAATATAAAATCATCCTGTCCGGTTTCCGATCAAGAGCCCAGTCGTGCTGTGGTTATTTCATGTACAAGCCATTGTTCTCTTCCTCAAGAATTAATATATTATTTAAAAAAAACCTGACTTGACAATTACAATGGTTTATATTTTAGGTTATGGCAGTCCAAAAATCTTTCTTCATTAACAGTTTCATCCTGGATATACTGTAAAATTAAAGGTCATAGTATATGTGTTTGGCTGCGAACAAATACTAAAAACTCCCCAAAATTATCCTTTAAAACAATAAACAGCAAGGATGCATTTTCATTCTTCTACAATATTTTTTCTTGTATACTAGATATTTAGGACCAGATTGTGATACTTTCACTCACATTAATCAGTACCTGGCTCTACTAGTAGTTGTGTTGAAATCCATGGGAACAACTGTGGTGAAAAGTGCTATTCATTATGAGGGTATCACAATCTGGCACGTTGTGTGAGGCTCACTTCCTTTGCCATCTCATATTCCACTTGAATAGTAGAATCAGTGGTTTATGGTAACCTCCTCAGCGTGCAGTCCCTCCCCGCACTTTTTGATGTTGTTGTTTTATTCTTTGCTTTCTGACTCGCTTTATTATGGGTATATATGCCCTGGCTTGGGGCGGTAGCACAGGTGGATGTTCTGAAGCTACGATGATTAGTGCTGTGCTTTTCAGATTTTGTCATTCGAACATTTTACTATTTGTAACTAACAAATGTTCAAACATACCCATTGGTGGGGGAAAGAGCTGTTTGAAGGCAGCACGGAAGGGGTAAAGTCAAGCTCACAGGTACTGACTTTCCAAAGTGCTGGGGGCTGCTCGACCCCCGGCTCTACCACAGGCCCCACCCCCACTCCACCCCTTCCCACAAGGCCCCACAAGGCCCCAGCCACACCCAATCTCTTCCTGCCCAGTTCTGCCCCCTCCTCCGAGTGTGCCATGTTCTCACTCCTCCCCCATCCCTCCCAGCCTCCTGCAGGCTGTGAAACAGCTGATTGTGGTGGGCGGGAGGGGCAGGGAGGGAGGGGGAGGCGCTGATTTGTGGGGCCTGCCGGCAGGTGGGAGGCACTGGGCAGGGGGTGGCAGGGACCTAATAGGGGGGCTGCCGGTGAGTGCTCAGCATCCACTATTTTTTCCCCGTGGGTGTTCCAAGTCAGCACCTATGGTCAAGCTAATTCCCAGAACAATAAAAATATTAGAAATAAAGATATATTTTAATTATTAGCTTGTTATGAAAGGTGTGGGCTTAACTGTAATACTAGCAAATGCCCCCCATACATTGGATTTAGGAGGTTGATTGACATGTCACCCTATCTACTCTGAAGTCAGAGGCAAAGAGGGAGTTGCGTTCAGGCTGCTGGCTGAGCCTGCAAGAGAGAATAGTTCCTGCTTTTGGGCAGTCTGGTACAACACTTTGCTCACCCACAACCGACATGACTTCCCCAGGTGACCCTTAGGCTGTGAAAGCCTGCCTGTTAGAAGCAACCAAATATCAACCAAGCTAAAGATGCCATGTGCTCAGGAGTACACCATTATCAGTGGCTGGGGGCAGGCAGGATACACTGTTCACTGTTTTCATTTACCAGGCATCAAAAGCTCTGTGCAAATAATCTCATGTGGGTGTTTTGGGCTTCTTGGTTGTAAGGATTGGGGTTAGTATCTCTCTCTTGTCTACAGGAGCCTCATGTTGGTTTCCCATGTCACCTCCAGCAAAGATCTTTCAAAACGCAGTGTTCTGGGAATAGCCTTCCCAAGGGAGCAATGGGGGCAAAAAATCTAACTAGCTTCAAGACTGAGCTTGATAAGTTTATGGAGGGGATGGTATAACGACACTGCCTACAATGGCATGTAGCCCTTTGGACTACTGCTAGCAGCAAATATTTCCAACTGCCAGTGATGGGACACTAGATGGGGATGGCTCTGAATTACTACAGAGAATTCTTTCCCAGGTGTTTGGCTGGTGAGTATTGCCCACATGCTCAGGGTCCAACTGATCATCAAATCTGGGGTTGGGAAAGAATTGTGGGGTCACTGCTGTTTACCTCTCTCCACTCTGAAAACTGAACATTTATTCCTACTCTTTGTTTCCTATCTTTTAAATACTTACTGATCCATGAGAGGACCTTCCCTCTTATCCCATGACTGGTTGATTTGCCTAAGAGTCATTTGGTGAGGAACCTTGTCAAAGGCTTTCTAAAAGTCCAAGTACCCTATAGCCACTGGATCATCTGGTCCACATGTTTGTTGACCACCTCAAAGAATTCCAATAGATTTGTGAGGCATGATTTCCCTTTACAAAAGCCATATTGACTCTTTCCCAGTATACTATGGTCATCTCTTTGTCTGATAATTCTTTACTATGCTTTCAACCAAGTTGCCTGGTGCTGAAGGTAGGTTTAATGGCCTGTAATTAATGCCAGGATCACCTCTGGAAAGTTTTTTAAAAATTGGTGTCACATTAGCTTTCCTCCAGTTACCTTCTGATTTAAATGATAGGTACTGTAGTCCATTAGGGGGAGTGGCTCCTCCCCCTCCACGTCTGTGGCCAGCCAATCCACCCCACTACATCTCTGGGGGTCGCCTGCTCCCCCCCCCGACCGGTCAGGGCCAAACCCCAGCTCTTTACCAGCAGTCAAACCCCTCAAATACCCCTCCTTGGACCTCCCCCCAAACACGGTTCAAGGTTGCCGCCCCCAAAATACTCCCAAACGCACCCCCTCCGGACTTTGTAAACCCACCAGCCAGGTGACCACCCAGCCCTGGATCTTAAGAACAAGAACAACCCCCAACACGACCCCCTTTCTGGGAAAGTTGGATAAAAGCCCACCAATTTGCATGGTGACCACAGCCCAAACCCTTGGATCGAAACAATAAAACTGTGTTTTCAAAAGCTTTAAAAAACAACCCCCGTCTGTCAGTCAAACCCCCCAAGTTCAAATCACGCAGTTTTCTTCGCCCGCTAACCTACCACCCCAATCCCCCGCCCCCACCCGCGCCAACCTGTTTGTCCCCCCATGATGTTCCTCTTGTTTGTCGTCCCATTCCTTTAGTAACCCTACTGTCCCGGCCAGATTCAATTTCTTCCCTTATATTTCCCCCAACACAGTGAACCGCTTTCTTCCGGGCTAGGAAACGTAATAAGCCCCCAAAACCCGTCTAAAGCAACATCCCCCACTTTTAACCAGTTGTCAATTTCACTCTCGCCCTTGTTAGCCGATTTGGCTCCAACTTCTAAACCCCAAGGTTTTGTTAGTTTCTTTGACTGTGAAGCCACTTGTGCACTCTTGCAGGTAACCGTCCCCAAACTATGGGTCTTTTCCAGGCTGGCGTCTTCTTTTCAGTGACGACCTTGCTTTCCCTCAGACTTTTGCTAGAAACAACAGTGAATCTTGTCATCCTTTCGCATTAAACGCCCCACACCAGCGGCTGGTTACAGCGTTTGTCAAAGTCGGGGCCCTAGTACATCACTTCGCTTGTTAAACCTCTGACACCCGGTCCACTGAACGCTTTGTTTTTTTGTTATGCACCTTTGCTGTAGTCCAAGCTCGTAATAACCCCAACCTAAGAAGGATTGAACCGTTTCTTTGACTTTGGGACGGCCACTTTTGGATCTCCCTTTGGCGTAGGGGCTGATGTTCCTGACCCACCTGGTTCCAGGTGTCCCTGTTTACTTATTTGACACTTCTTAGCCTTAACAGTTAGTCCTGCCTCCCTTACCAAGGTTTTGTAGTGTTCCAGGGTGCCCAGACCAAAAGCCCCGTCAAGGGCATCCCTAACCCGCTAGACCATTACAATTTTGGAAAGGCTCCAGCCCAAGTACTAAATCAACGCCCAGGTGTGTGAACTGACCTTTCCTGGCAGTTCATCATCCGCCAGTACCCTTGGTTAAGTCCAAGGTAGAGTGACGCCGCCCGTTTCCTAATATTCACGTGGGCATGGGATAGTTGTCTCAGTTACAGCATTTAGCTTACGTATCCACAAAAGTATTTCCCCACGTTTGGAACGAACCCCCCCATCCCCACGTAACCCCCCGTCAAGGTTACGAGGACACCTAATTGGACCCTAATTGGTGACATTTCAATGAGTCCTCAGTCAGTCGGGGTGCGAAACGTTGAGGAGCTCCTGGGCACCATCGATTCCCCTTCCCCCCCACCTTTCCCGTATCCACCACACCCCGGGCTAAACGCAACCTTATGGAAAAGGTAATAATCACTGCTTGGTTGGAGGGGAGCAAGAAAAACCCCGGCGGACCTGACCTCCCACCCTTTTTAGCTTCCTATGAACTTTTATCAATTTTTTTTTCGTAAGTTTTCAGCAAAAGCAGTGTGGTTAAACCTTTTCAAAGTAAACCCCCGCCCCAACGCAACCCCTTAACCATACAGTCAAAACCAACGCCCGTACAAACAACCGCAACAGTCCCAATCTAGTCTCTTACAAACCACCCCCAGTTCCATTAACCCCACCATCCTTTGTTGGTGGTAAGGGCCCAGTGTTTACCCCTGTCCCAATTTTCAGTTCCTGCCAAAGTCCCGCATGTGACCCAGCAAAGTCCACCTTTCCTTTTGCTTACGGCCATCTCAACCAAATCCGTTTGAAAAGGACCCAGAATACCACAGCAAACAGGGGGGGGGTTGGTTGACGTTTCCTGGCACACCTCCAAGACGACATATAACTGCCCTTCTCCCAGTGGATCCCCCAACGTTTTGTCTGTTCACCCCGCGCCACAGGGTGCACAGCCTTGTGACCCAACGCGAATCCCCCAAGTCGATATCCCTCACAACAAAGGATAAAAGAGAATTTCTGCTTCCTGTTCGTTGGATGTTCCCTTGATGTAGACATCAGTTCCTCTGGGATTGTGGATCAGTTGGTCCCTCTGGAACGAATAGGGGATGGAGTGTTTCTGTTGACTGTGAACCGTCTCCGGGCATAGTTGGGATTCAGGCCGCGACCTCTTGGGTGGGTTATGGCCATTCAGGTTCGGTGGGGCCTCTGTTGTTGAGGTTGCAAGTACTGGATTCAGTGTGAAGGGGTCTGGTGTTGGTTGTTCGGCTGGTTCGGTTCTGGGATGGTTCCGTCTGGTCTCTGGGACTGATCCACTACTGCTGTTGCAGACATTGGCGGGTCCAGGTCCATCACCTGACGGTCCTGATAAAGTTTCCGAAGATAGCCTCAGCTTGTTTACGGCTGCGGGTGACCATTCCCACCCTCTTGGGCTTCCATGATTAAGTTTCCCAACAGCAGGGGGGATAATCATCAATCCACATTCCGAAGCCTGACGGGCAAGGTACAAATGAAAGAGTTGGATGAAGGGTTGAATCGTCACTTGGATTCTGGGTTGATTAAAGGTCCACTAAGGAAGTATGGATAGTGACACTTGTGCTGGTGTCCCTCCACCGTGACCTTCTTCCCCCCTCAAGTTTCCCTCCTCCAAGGGTATCTGGGAGGTATCGGGCTGTGGACCTCTGTGTGATTCCGTGCAATGAACTGTAATCGGTTGGGGTTCTTGGGGCAGTTGCCTTTACAGCCCCAGCTCGTTACACTTAAAACATCGTCAGCTGAGGGTACTGGGGGAGGAGGTTCCTGGAGAACGGGGTGGTGGGAGATAAGGGGTCTGGAGGGTTCTTTGGGAGGTAGGTGGGGCTTTGGGCCCCGGTAATAGGGTGTGGTCGGGGTGGTCCCTTCTGTCTCCACTCCAACTCAGTTTTTTCTTTGCCACTCCACCCCCGCCATTACAGTTTTCCCGTCTAGGATGTATCTTTCATTTCCTCAGGACCCCTCTAAAGTCCATTTGCATAGAACAAATACAATTCAACACTTGCTCCTGATATCCAGGCATCCCAAGTCACAAGGGGTAGGTTAAAGAAGTGGTTTCCACTAGGTCTGAACCTCGAAGAGCTCGGGTGTTATCCCCATTCTGACTCTGCCTTGGATTTAAACAGTTCATATTGTTCATGTGTTCTTTACATTTCAGCTGCCACCTCAGCTAAGGGTCACTGAGCCTCAGCTCTACCATGTATTGGTCAGTAGAGATGTTGTACCCAAGCACCCTTTGAGTTTTCTAAAAGGCCTCAGTACATCACCTGCCTTGTATGTGGGGAATTTCTGGGATGGGAAGTGGTATGGAGAAGGATTGCTAGGGTTTGTTGGTATATTTGTCCTTTATCCTCTCCACCTCCTCCACATCTTCTCTCTTTTTTCTCCTCCTCCACATGCTTCCTTGCCTCCATTTCCTCTTGTGGCAGCCCCTGTACCTCCTTCTCCAGCATAGTTCTATCTTCTTTCATGTTCCCTTTGTCTTTCCTCGCCTGAAATTGGCTAATTCCAGCTGTAGTTGGGCTGAGGATTTGGTCATTCTAACCTCTCTGTTTTTAACTAACTTTACACCTGAGGTTTAGAAATAAAAAAAAACTTGGCTTAAAATTTTGCTGTGCAATAGAATACCTATTCTCTGATAGTGATTGTCAGCTACAAAAAGACAATCCCTTGTCTCTGCTCGGGCCCAAATTAAAGCAAAAACCCCAACTGCTTGGAAACCTGCTACCGCCCAAGAAAAGCAAATGGGTAGAACACACACCCCCTATTTACTTTTAGGAGAAAAAAAAAAATGGGTTGAAGACTGAATTTCCCTGCAGGAGTTAAGTACCCTGCCTCCACAAAAAACCTGCAATTCCAAGATAATCCCCTTGTCTCTGCTTGCCAAAGCAGAGAAAAAGCTGCTTTCTGGACTTTCTTTCCAAGAAAAAAATTTCCTTTTTAAAATCGTATTTCTATTCAAAAATCTCAACTGGATCTCAAATGATTTCAGGTTAACCCACCACTGTGCCACCATTCAAGTTCCTCCCCCACTCTGAACTCTAGGGTACAGATGTGGGGACCTCATAAAAACCTCCTAAGCTTATCTTTACCAGCTTAGGTCAAAACTTCCCAAGGTACAAAATATTACACCCGTTATCCTTGGAATGGCGCTACACCCCAAACAATTACTGGTTACTGGGGAAGAGCTGTTTGGACCTCTGTCCCCCAAAATACTTCCCAAAACCTTGACCCCACTTCCTGGACAAGGTTTGGTAAAAGCCTCACCAATTTGCCTAGGTGACTACAGACCCAGACCCTTGGATCTTAAGAAAATGAACAATCCTCCCAACACTTGCACCCCCCTTTCCTGGGAAATGTTGGATAAAAAGCCTCACCAATTTGCATAGGTGACCACAGACCCAAACCCTTGGATCTGAGAACAATGAAAAAGCATTCAGTGTTTTACAAGAAGACTTTTAATAAAAATAGCATAAATAGAAATAAAAAATCCCCCTGTAAAATCAGGATGGTAGATATCTTACAGGGTAATTAGATTCAAAAAATAGAGAACCCCTCTAGGCAAAACCTTAAGTTACAAAAAGATACACAGACAGAAATAGTTATTCTATTCAGCACAATGCTTTTCTCAGCCATTTAAAGGAATCATAATCTAACACATACCTAGCTAGATTACTTACTAAAAGTTCTAAGACTCCATTCCTGTTCTGTCCCTGGCCAAGACGACTACAGACAGACACAAACCCTTTGTTTGTCTCCCTCCTCCCAGCTTTTGAAAGTATCTTGTCTCCTCATTGGTCATTTTGGTCAGGTGCCAGCGAGGTTACCTTTAGCTTCTTAACCCTTTACAGGTGAGAGGAGCTTTCCCCTGGCCAGGAGGGATTTCAAAGGGGTTTACCCTTCCCTTTATATTTATGACAGCCTGACATGGGGAATCAGAGGGGCAGTGGGAGATGGGAGCTCGGGCCTGTGATCTGGGCCGAACAACAAACAAAGTTATGGAGCCAAGCCCCTGGTTGGGGCAGGGCAGCAAAGAGTCTCTGGCTCAGGCCTACACTCAGGCTGTGCAGCAAACAGTCGGGCCTCCTAGCTCTGGCGGAGGGCCAACAAGTGCAGGCTTCTTGCCTAAGAGAGGGGGAGACTGCGCCCACGGATTGGGGTGGCAGGCGGGACGCAGGCCCACCCACTCCACTGCGTCCCGGCTCAGAGCCCTAGCAGCGGCAGAGCCATCTGCCACTGGGTCAGGGGGGATCCTGACCACAACACGCTGATGCACTCGCTGTCAGCGTTGCAGCCAGACAGGGGTCAGCTACCCGTGGGCCACTTCCCAACTCCCCCTCAGGTTGTACCTGGCTCTGTAGAGGGTCGTCCTGGTCGTCGGGGAAGAAGGCCTCTGTCAGGGCTTGCAGTTCCTCCATGCTCAGGTCTGTAAATGGCCCTGGCAGTCCTGGCCAGTCCTTGGCTCCCTAAGGGCCTGCCGCAGCCTCCCAGCTTGGGAGTGAACCGGAGGTGCCTGGCTCCTCTGGCGGCTGCCTCCCAACTGAGTTCTCCGTCCCGCCTTTTGTACTTCCGGTCCCACCCACTAACTTCCAGCGGGAGGGTTGAGCGTGGCATGGCTCCGCCCACCAGGGTTCAATGAGGGGCTCCTCCCCCTCCAGGTCTGTGGGCAGCCAATCCACCCCACTACAGTTACATACCATAGTTAGTGGTTCTGCAATTTAATATTTGAGTTATTTCATAACTCTTGGGTGAATACCATTTGGTGCTGGTGACCTATTACTGTCCAATTTATCAATGTGTTCCCTCTACTGACACCTCAGTCTGGGACAGTTCCTCAGATTTGTCATCTAAAAAGAACAGCTAAGGTGTGGGAAGCTCCCTCATATCCTCTGCAGTAAGACCGATGCAAAGAATTCTTTTAGCTTCTCCACAATGGTGTTGTCATCTGTCAGTGCTCCTTTAGCACCTCAATCGTCCAATGGCCCCACTGATTGTTTGGCAGGTGTACTGCTTTTGATGTATTTTAAAAAAATTTGCTATGAGTTTTTGAGTCTTTTGCTAGTTGCTCTTCACATTCTTTTTTAGCTGTTACATAACATTTTTCATTCGTAGATCTCAAAGTGCTTTAGAAAGGGAGGTGAGTATCATTATCACAGATGGGGAAACCGAGGCAGTGAGGTGAAATGACTTGCCCAAGGTCACCACGCTGACAGTGACACAGTTGGAAGTATAACCCAACTTGTCTGAGTCCCAGTCCAGTGCTCTATCTTCTAGGCGATGTTGCCTTCCATAGTTCTCTTCTGAGGACACTGAGAGATGAGGAAAAGGGGATAAATACTGTAAGCTGTAAAAAGACTAAGGATTATTGTTGAGACAGTAAACTCCTTTTGGCAGAGTCTGTATTTTTGTTATGTTTGTACAGTGCCTCACACAATGGGATTCTTGTCCATGATTGGGGTTCCTAGACACGACTGAAATACCAATGATAAAAAAGATGTTGATATATACCTTGCTTGTTGGGTATGCATGTGATCTCTGGTCACTGTGCTCTCTAACAATTGATGCCCTCTCTGTCTTCTGCGTCTTAGTTTGACATCGAAATGGTTTTCAGTGCCATGGTCGCTTGCGCTTCAATCACAATTCTAGACTTCTATTGCTGTTGGGAGCAGAAGGGACTCACCAATGGTGTCTGAATGTTAGCATTTTACAATTTGCATGGCCACAACAGAAGATGCTTCTAAGGCTCTTTGAGGAACAGTTGCTTTTTCAGACATGAGGTTTTTTTGGCCACTTTCATTTCTTTTGTTTCCAAGGTGGGGAAAAAATCACAGCTCTTGTTTACGAATTCTGGGTGTTCGGTTTCTAAATGTTTCTGTTCTTTCCCTTATGAAAAATGAACAGAAGTTAAAATACCAACAAAAATACAGTAGACAAGGATTTAAAAACAAGGAAGTAAAAATAGTGGCAAGTCAGCAAGGGGGTCAAGAAACAATAAGAAGTGAAAATTAGGTTTCCAGTCCTGCAACCTGATTTGCAAAGTGCATCTTTATGCCTGGGCAAATCACCATTGTATTGGCATAAGAGTCCAGTTGTGGAGGTCAGTGAGCAGGATCCAAGACCTCGGAATAGAGTAAAATAATCCCCTTATTTTAAACAAACAAACGAACAAATCTTGTATTTCTTCTTGACCCTCCAGCTCTTTTTCCCTTTTCATAAAAGCTGTGTTTATTAGATTGTACACAGGGTCTTTGTTTTGCACATGTGAAGTATTTAGCACCTTTCTGGGTGCTGTGTTAACAAGTAATGCATAGATTATAGGCATACAGATTATTTGTGTTACTCATTTGCTTTTTCTATTCCCTGCATCAATGGTACCTTTTTAATTTCTCTAAGAGAGACAAAGAGTTAAAAGCAAAATCAGCTAAAATGAACTATTTACAGTTTACAAGTTTTAACAGTAAAAGGAGCTAGGATTATAGCTGTGTAAAATGTTTGTTACAAACTAAAAACTCTTGACAGATTGCCAAAAGATTCACAAACCTTTGTGAACGCTTTAGCAAATCTGGTGCAGGTTTTAATCAAGGCTAGGCTGCATTTCAAGGTGAAACATGGGCTGATTTATGTTTTGGGGTGGAAAACACTCAGAATTTAGCAGTTTGAAATTGAACATCAAATTGAGACTCACTGATATAAAATTGCAAGCTCAGGTTAATGTAAAACAAAAAAATTAAAACTTCTGTGAAACAAGACAATTGTTTTGCACAGCTGTCATTGGGAGTGAATTAGACACCCAGTGGAAATGGGATCTGAAAAGTGAAATGTCCAGCTTTGTAGTTTTGATGTATGACATTTATCAGAGCTGGTGGGAAATTCCAACCTTTCGGGGAAAAAATAGCTCCAAGCAGGGACAAAAAGTCAAAATTTCCCACAAAACAAAATTTCTCACAAAACAAAAAAAAATTGGAATCAGCTGACACAGAACGTTTCAATTTAAATGACTCATTTTTCGATGGAGAAATGTTCCATCTGAAAATTTTGAACCAGCTCGAATGTTTATTAGATTTCAGAGCCATTTTTATATTAATACGTCAGATGCAACTACACTGTTTTAATTCTGTGGTGGAATATAACATCCAAGACTGCCAAGACTTGCCCTTTTGCCAATAATATAAAAACATGTGGAGGATTTTTCATTTCCCCCAATATATTACGTGTGTGTGCAAGAAAGTGAGTGAAAGAGAATAGATCTGTGCATGGGTGCACGCACACATACATTCATTAATCACTTGGTTGGAATGTCTTGTCATCTGCTCCCTTCATTCATCACCAGTGAAGATTATTTCCATAACTAGGGGGTGTTCCTGCACTGTCACTGATTGCTTGTTAGGTGGAATGTCGTGAAGACAGAGTTAATTGTCATCAAAGCTTGGGGCCAGATTTTTTTTAAGGTATTTAGGCACCTAAAGGTGGGATTTTCAAAAGCACCTCGGTGCAGAGCTCTCATTGAAATTGATAGGAGTTATGTACCTAGACAGTTTTAAAAATCCCATTAGACACCTATCTGCATTGTTAAGTGCTTAAATATCTTTTAAAAATCTGGCCCCCAGGGGCCTATCTGCATCTTTAGGTACCTAAATACCTTTGAAAATGGGACTTAGTCATTTAAATCACTTAGGCTTTGCAACGTGGAGCAGACCAACACCCAAATGCCTTAAAAAACCTGGGCCTTAATGAATGATAGATAAGGCAGGTTAATGGCTGCAGGTGACACTAATGTGAACATTGAAGAACATTTCTGGAGTCACTGAATCTAATCCAGGAGTCAGAGTAGAATGGATGGCACCAAAAGGAAACAAAAAGTCAAGGAACTAGAGACACTGGAGCTAAGTTCTGAAGGGATTGTTATGGTCCAGAGTTCCATATGATTGTACCATTGCATGGAACAGTGGATAATGGAGAACTGGGTATTTAAAATAGTAAACTAAAAAGTCCCATAGGACAAAATTGTTAAGAGAGGACAATCATGCACAAAGAGAAATTCCACTATATTCCTGCAGAAAAAAGACTTGCTCTATCAGCATTGATATTTTTAAAGTGTTGATTTGTATTCACTGGAGTTCAGTCCTGTTAGCCATTAATTTTTATGCTTCTTACTGTTGGAGTCTAGGTGGGATGAAAATTTAGTCCCTAGATTTTAGTTTTCCTCAAGTCAATTGGTGGTGCATTTTAATTTTGCTTTTCTTATATTGATCAAACTTCCTCTGCACCAAGCAGAATGGGCAGGAGAGTTGATTTCAGGATGAAGCTTGGTTGTATATTGGAGAACGAACTAGAGCAAGAAGTTCCAAGGTAACTGGAACCTCAGATTTGTCATCAAACAGACAATGGGATTCCCTTAGACATCAGGAGCAAACATTTTCATTTGTCATGTTATTTTGTAATTTTTGATTTTGTTACAGTGCAAGCATATACATTTAAATAAAATAAAAATATTATATTATAAAAATATAAAAATAAAATAAACGTTGAAATGTAAAGATGTTTCTAAATGAAAAATTGGCTAAATGATTTTTTTTCCAAATGAAATTTTGTCAGAGTCAGCTGACACAGAATGCTTCAATTTAAATGAGTCAACATTTTTCGATGGAGAAATGTTCCATGCGAAAATTTTCAACCAGCTCAAATGTTTATTAGATTTCAGAGCCTTTTTTTATATTAATGTGTCTGATGCAATTATACTGATTTAATTCTGTTGTGGAATATCACATCCAAAACTGCCAGGACTTGCCCTCTTGCCTTGTCAAAGCATGCCCCAAGATGCTAGCATGCACACAGCACTTCAGTATACACTTGCAACGCTTCTTTTGGGAATGAAATCTATGTTTGAAAAGATCCATTGGAAATGGGTACCATGTGTCTGACCCAAATCCCATCATACTCACGTACAATATATACACCGCTTGTCTTTCTAAATTCTAAAACCAAAATAACTTCCATCCTCTAAGTGGAAGATAAATATTGACTTGGTCTCAAAAGGAGAATAGTCTCACTTATTGTACCACATTAATAAACAACTACCAATCCAAGTAGACAAACTGTCAGCTGTGCCAGCCAAAGAAGTCACATAGCAACAGCATGTTAAGTTTTTAACATAACAACATGCTTTAACCAAGAAGATGATACTACCTCACTGTTTCCACGGAATCCAGTGAAGTGGTGCATGACCGGCCATTAGGCTTTAGGTCTCTATTGCCCAATTTTAATAAAAAGCTATCGGTAATAGCTTTGTATTCAATCATCACTTTTCCCCCCGCACAAAATAGAGGAATCTTTGGATGACTTTAAGAAAAACACAACACTTAACAAACATTTTAAAATTTCATATTGAGAAATAACACAAAAGCAATTCTGGAGTGAAATATATAACCATAAGGTGTTACAGGATTACAAGGAGAAGGAGGATACTTGGTGTTTTTTTACAGTAGTACAGATGAGACTGGTTAAAAACAGTGTTCAGCTATTTTACTACTCAGAGTCCTATCTCCTTATTATGTTTATTGTAAACAGATAGATAAATAAAGTATTGGTAGATCTGTTTAATATGTGCCCCATTTTTTTTAGTGTTATGTATTCTGCTCTTGGGTAAACTGGTATAATTCCCGAGTTGCAGTCACTTAATATCAGTGCCAACAGTAGAATTTGGTCTGTAGTGTTCCATTTGGCAGAGAAAAAAGTTTACTAATTTCAATCACTTTTGCAAACCCAAAAATCTTTCAGCTCCACAAAACTGGTTAATCTCAAACTCAAATCACCACGAGGGCCGCATGAGGACTAGTACATTGGCCTGAGGGCCGCATCACTGACACCTTTTCACCATGGTGGATTTAGAGTTAGTGGGTCCCTGTGCTCAGCTTCATTTTTGCCCCCCCCCCATGGGGGGAGCATTCTCTCTTATCTCCCCCCTCACCCCCCCATTTTTCATTCTTTTTTTCTCCATTCTCCTCCTGGGGCTCAGGGCTGGGGGTGCAGGTTCTGGGAGGGATTTAGGGTGCGGGAGGAGGCTCAGGGTTGGGGTGCAGGGTCAGGGAGGGAGTTAGGGACTTAGGATGTGGGAGGCGGCACAGGGCTGGGACAGGCAAGGGGTGCAGAGCACTTACCTGGGTCAGCTCCTGTTTGGTGCGGGGGGGTGCAGGTGGCTCCGTTCAGCGTGGCACTGCCCCCATGGCCACGATTCTGGGAGCCGCCCCCCGCCAGGCAGGGCCACCTGGATCACAGTGGGTGCAGGGGCTGTAGGGCCCTGAGCTGCAGCTCTAAAGCCCCTTTTGGAATGCGGCCCTGTGAACATGGGCGGAGGACTCAGGATGAGCAGGGGCAGCCGGAGAGAAGCGGCAGTTTCCCCTTCAAAGCGCCGCTTCTCTCCAGCCGGCTATGTGGCCGCCCTGTGCTCCTCCTGAGTTCTCCAGCCCGTGTTCACTGTGCTCCCGTCACCCACACCTCTCACCCGCTGCCCTGAGCATGCTGTGTTCCCGCTCCTCCCCCCTCCCTCCTGGAAAGTCCTAAGCACCGCCAAACAGCTGTGGACAGAGGAGCGGGGACGTGGCACGCTCGGGGGGCAGAGGCGGGGGTTTGAGGGGAGCTATGGCGGGCCTCAGAAAATAACTCTGCGGGCTGCATGTTTGAGACCCCTGGGTTAACTCATCCCTACTTGGGTGTGTCCTGGTGTCCTTCAGAATGAACTGTTATAATTCTTTGTTGACATGTT